TCACTTCCATAATGTGAAAAACCCTTGTTTCTTCAGATAAGATATTTTTACATTAATATCAGTAAAAATAGCAAAAATGTACGTGTACTAACCAATATTTGTAAAGTGGCCCTAACTTTGTAATGTCGCGAGAAAAAGAAGCTATTACATTTTTAATTATTATTTTTTTTTTTGCAAACACTTGTCCTAATAGCACATTACACGCGAATTATATATATATATATATATATATATATATATATATATATATATATATATTAAACATATTGTTAAATTAAAATACGTATAGCAAATGAAGGAGTAATTCTGAAAAAAAAGTATTATAGCTTAAAACACAAATAAACTTGAGATGTCTTGCGGTGTAGTGTTTTCTCAATTGAATGTGAAAAAATATTTAGCTGCTAACAATATGGAACGAAAATTTTAAATGGAAAGCCCATTACATAATAGCCAAAATTAAAAACTTCGACGATCGCCAATCATAGATCTAAAATAATGCAGGCTCATTTCCTTTGAGCCTGTTTGAGTCTGCTTATGTATTTTCATCTGTTCGTCTATAAAAGAAGGTTTAAAGATATACTATGCTCATCTTTGGGTAAAATATTTTTATCTTAGAAATGTATTAAAATCCATGAAATTCTGAATATGGTTACTTTGAATAAAATAATGAATAAACTATGTATGGGAAGCTGCATTCCTTATTACGGATCAAGTAAAGTTGGTCTCTTCTTAAAAAAACACTATATATTCATATTTTATAACATTTTTGATTAATCGCATTGTTAAATTGCCCTGTTGTTCGCATTGTTGTATTTTTACTTAATTGTATTGTTTCATTGTTGTATCTTCACAATACGAATAAAGATGTGCATGTTTATTACCCATATACTTTTTGAAAGATGTGCGCATGCTCTTGTACAACTATAATAAAACAATGTGAAACAAAGCGAAAATGTATCAAAGCAAGAATGGAAAAAAAGCGAGAGAAAAAGAAATTTTTGTCAATTTCTGCAATGTTCACACATTTTGTACTCTTCCCACAAAAAGTACAACATAACATAACAACAGATGTTTTGCAAAAACTTAACTCTAATATTGTATAGTTTACATTTTTGTTGGTCGTTTCCGACACAAGAATGCGAAAAGACTGCAAAAAACAAGATACAAATAAGTTGGACTTTACACATCCTGCGGATGTTTCTAAATTCAAAATTTCACAATGTTTTTGTTTAAATGTTGAATTTTGCTTAAGCCCGGTGCTGGGGGGGCGTGGGCGGTAACTTGCATTTTCCAGTACCGTCCATAAACAGGCTTAATCAAACCGAGCCTGCAACATTTTCAATTTTTGCCGTGTTGCGCTTTCTTTAGGGAATTCTGTTTTTTTCTCTATTTTCATTTTGTCGTATTTTTATCGTAAATTATAATGTTTCACCGCGGCCGGTTCTTTCCAATATCTTTATTTCTCTGATAGATCAATCTTTTATTATTTTTTTTCAATTGATACATACATGTTTAGTATCGGATCTTTTTTACAAACTTGAATATTTATTTTTCAAAACGCCCGGCAGTATCTATTTAGCTTTATTCAGAAATAAAGCAAAATGGGCGTAAGGTTAATGAACAGAATTGAAAGTAAAACAAAAACACTTGAAATACACATAAAACATATGAAGCTAAATATTTTGCATATAATGTCACTGAGTATCTGCGGAAGACAAAAAAATACTGGTATATTATTTAAATCAACGTAGAACGAATGTCTGAAATTGTTGTAACAATTCTTTTAACCGTTCATTTTAATGGTCTTACCGACTCAATATGTCTTTATTTAGCCTTTAAAATACATAACCCTTTCCTTTCCGTTTCTTTAAAATTGGAATTAATCGCGACAGGATTAATTAACAGTAACAAAATATCTGAAAAAAATCAAGTTACAGGGATTTATAATCGGATATTTTCTCCAGCTAAAATAAATGGAAAAAAAATCCAGTCGGATCTTTCAAAACAGGGCTTAAAACGGTATTTCAACGCGAAAATACATTAAAAATACATATTAAGCATATGATGAAGCATTTACATGATTTCAAACAATAAGAATATCCAATCAGAAAACATATATTATGCCGGAAAATAAATCGATGTGAACTTTAATATATCAAGGCATACGGTATTTACCCGGGCGGATTCAGCACAAATCCGCTGGGTCAAAATTTTTAAAATCAAACTTTCGGTGAGAAAACAAACTAATAGTAAAAATTGAAGTCAAATATGGTTAATAAACACTAAAGCTATCACGTGAACAAAATTATAATTGTTTAGGACACTTTAAAAGGGTAGTGAAGTTTGCCACTATCCTGGTGGTGCAAAGATTTTCCGGTGGCTGTTTTATCTGTGATACGCAGGCTTCATAACCTCTGATCCCCTTTCAAAATTCCATTTCATTTAGTTCCGCCCATTGTTTTCTCGTTTAGGGCACACGCTTTTTATTACTTGGGGACCATACGCCGCTTTTCATGGAATGGCACGGAAGTGTCACATTGAAGGTTCCATGATAACCGCCGTATGAACACATCTGCGGATGTTTCTAAATTCAAATTTTACTATTTCACGTATAAATGTTGAATTCTGCTTAAGCCGGTGCTAGGGGGCGTGGACGGTAACTTGCACTTTCCAGTACCGTCCATGAACAGGCTCAATCAAACCGAGCCTGCAACATTTTCAATTTTGCCGTGTTGGGCTTTCTTTAGGGATTCTGTATTTATCTATTTTATGATCACATCTGTGTTATTTGTGCCGTGTGGCGGCTGTAAAAAGTCTCCCCGTACATTTAATCAATAATGTTATATTTTCGATCCTTGAAGATCGTTCAGCACGACATTATTGTTATGTTGTGGTATTTTTAGTTTCAACTTTTCGGCATTTTCTATTTGGGTGGTTCCAATATTCCTACTTGAATAATGTTGAATCACCCTTAGGATATGTTGCCTGCTTTTTAAATTTGGCTTTTGACGTCTTATCTCTGATACGCAGGCTTCATAACCTCTGATCCCCTTTCAAAATTCCATTTCATTTAGTTCCGCCCATTGTTTTCTCGTTTAGGGCACACGCTTTTTATTACTTGGGGACCATACGCCGCTTTTCATGGAATGGCACGGAAGTGTCACATTGAAGGTTCAATGATAACCGCCGTATGAACACATCTGCGGATGTTTCTAAATTCAAATTTTACTATTTCACGTATAAATGTTGAATTCTGCTTAAGCCGGTGCTAGGGGGCGTGGACGGTAACTTGCACTTTCCAGTACCGTCCATGAACAGGCTCAATCAAACCGAGCCTGCAACATTTTCAATTTTGCCGTGTAGGGATTCTGTATTTATCTATTTTATAAGGCTGTACTTTTGACGTGATCGAGGCAGAAAACTCTCTTTCAATTTAATTTAATAGAACAATATAACATTTAACTGATTTTCGTAGAGTAAATGGAAACATGTGTCAGATATTATTTTCCATCGTTGGTCTTTAGGAAAATAACAACAATGTACAATAAGTCAACAAAATGTATTTATAATACATTGAACTTAAAAATAATCGAAAAAAGTACCCCCTAAAAAAACAAAAAAAAACAAAACCATAATCATTGTGCATAGCTATTCCCATAATTATTGATGTTTTTAATTGCGTTTAGTTTAATTCTATGAAGGTATTCATAACCTTACTTATCTATACTGATCTTTTGGCAGCAAATCATCAATAAGGCATAATTAGCTTCAAACGTAACAATTTATCATATTGACATCTGGAACGGTACTTTAACAACAAAGAAACTCATTCAATAACTTATTACATAGCTGTTGAATTTCAAAAGATTGGTAGAAAGATTATATGCAAATGCATAGTTTCCATTTGGTGTTAGAAAGATGCGAGCATTTGTTAGAAAGCTGCGAGCATTGAAAGGTATTTTTCTACCTTGGAAACACGGATAATTATTTGTTTTACATCAAATATGATTCTGATTTTTCTTTTAGTCATTCACTGTTTTGTAGAAATGCTTACTTTGGAAAATGCGACATCTACATTCGAGACAGAAAAAGTATCTAATATCCCTCAAGGTGTGACAACAGTACTCAAAAATGAACACACATTGATATCGTGCATTTTTCATTGTCAGGAACTTGCTCTGCCGTCGTCTAATTCATCACGTTTTTGTAGCTCTGCTGCTGCTGATGGTAATAACAACACAGACAAAAAAGGGAAGGCCGGAATAATCCATGGAAAAAGAACAACAAAGGTGTCAACGTCATATATTCAAGTAAGAATTAAAAACAATTTAATCTGAAAGATTTAATCTATCATTCAATTTTTTTCAAATTCTACAATCATAACAGAATAAAAAATAAAAAGAAACATATAACTAAATTTCACTATCAAGCTCCGTCCAAGTAAAATGATAAAATGTTTTGTGTGTGTGTGTGTTTTTTTAATTTGTATTGTATCCTGGATAATTATACATTTTGATATTTTAATGACATAATTGGTCATATTTATGATATATATATATATATGGTATTTGGTAAAATGAATCAAGTCGCAAATAAAATTCTCATACTTTACATATTTTACTGTTCAGAAATATATTATTCCTGTTTGATAATTGGGTAAGACATTGATCCTCACCGATGATGCTGATTTTGCATTCTATTTTGATTATTATTGATTACTAAAATCGAATAAAACTATTTATTTGGTATATTTGCCAAATGCAATTTAAATTCGGAAATATCCATTCGTAAAGTGATTTTGCCACACAGAATTCTTTCCTCAGAAGTTACGTTTCGTGCTAGAATTGTAATTTCAAACATTGAGCAATGGTCATGGTATTGTACCTACAACGCCAGTAGCAACGTATAATATACCGCAATATAATACCAGCACACCTTTGAATTCGAATTCACCCAATATCATTGATCCATTTACATTGATCTTGAACAGATTGGATAATATGGATATGAAACTAGGACAACTTGAAAAAATTCAGACTACCGTTAATGGATTAACGGTATCTATGTATGATATAGGTCAAAAGGTCGACGCCATGGAAAAACGGATCAGCGACCTCGAGAGTAGCCAACAGTTTGAAAGCAATACCGTAGATGAAATCAAAAGAAAGCAGGACGAGATCGTTTCCTTAAAAACCAAAGCGTCCCAAATAGAAACTCAGCGTATTGAATGTGAGGATCTCGTTAATGAGATGAAATGTGCTGACCTCAAAAATAATCTTCTATTTTTTCGGGTAAATGATGAAGAATCAGAAACAAATGAACAGTGTAAAGAAAGGATTTTGACAATAATGAAAGAAGACATGAAAATAAAAAACGCAGAAATTATCATGATGACCAAAACAGAAAGAATGGGAAGATATAAATCGGACAAGATACGCCCTATTGTTGTACGATATAGTAGTTTTGAGGAGCGTGAATCTGTGAGAAAATCGTGCAAAAATCTCACAAAGTACAATTCTGTTGGTGTAAGTCAACATTTCCCCAAAGATATAGCAGATAAACGGAAAGCACTCGGACCGATACTAAGGAAAGCAAAAAATGACAAGAAGAAAGTTGAACTGCGGTATGATAAACTATTCATTGATGGCAATTTGTACATACTGCCATAAACGGACTAGGAAAGCGCCGAAAGTGATATACATATTTTAACGTGGAATGTCGAGGGATTAACCAAAAACAAGCGTTCAAACGACGAGTTTACAAATATTCTCACACAATACGATATAATATGTTTATCAGAGACATGGACTTCTAAATCATCAAAGATAGACTTAAAAGGATATAGTAACTTTCACTCATACAGACGTTTCCAGAATAGACGTGCAAAAAGAGCAAGCGGTGGGATTACAGTGTATATTAAAGATTTTATAAAGAAAGGTGTCAAATTAGTGAAAAACGATATAGACGGTGTACTATGGTAAAAACTTGATAAAATATTCTTTCAAACAGATACAGACTGGTACATTTGTTGCACATATGTTGCCTTGGAAAATTCCCCCGTACATGACTTTTATGAAAGTGACATATTTAGTATTTTAGAACAAGATATTACAACTTTTCAACAGTACGGACGTACGTTACTATTAGGCGACATGAAAAGTCGGGTGGGGGTAAAGTGTGACTTTATCAAGGATGAGCGCTTAACGGATTTAGACATGAACAATGCCTTAAACGATGTACCGCCAATACGACGATCAATGGATTTAAATAGTAATCGATTTGGTGATTTATTGATTGAACTTTGCAAAGCAGTGAATATGTGTATTGTTAACGGACGATCAGGTATGCCGGGCGATAAGGGCAGTTATACGTGTATGATGCACAATGGAGAAAGTGTGATTGACTTAGTGTTAACTAAATACTCAAATTTCAAGTTCTTAAAGCAATTTATGATTCATGATTACACAGAATTTTCCAACCACACATCCGTGTCATTTCGATTAAAATTAGGTACTGTCGAAGAAAGGGAAACAACTCACCGAAGAATATATTATAGGTGGAATGATGAACACAAACATGCATTTCGAAACGATATATTCAGTGAAATTGGCAATTTAAAGACTCTGCTAGATGACAATGATATCAGCATAAATGATAAAGTGCAAACTTTTAGCAAAGTAATTACCGATAACGCCGATAAGTACTTTAAGAAAAATGTTAAATGTACAAATAACACATTCCTTGATAGAAGCAATGACAGGAAATATGGTTTAACGAAGAATGTATTGAAAAGCAACGTATATACAAGACAGCATTGGGACAATATCTGACACATAGAAATACGGAATCATTAAATAGACTGCATCAGCTTAAACGTGAATATAAAACATGTGTAAATCGTGCAAAAAAACATTCAATCGTGATCGGTGTCGTGAAATGAACACATTGAGAAGGAAAAGCCCCCGCGAATTCTGGAGAATGTTTAAAACTAATGAAAATAATTCTGTCAATGAGATTTCAAACGAACAATTGTGTGAGCATTTTAAAACATTAGCGCAGGACCATAATACCCCGGATGATGATATCGAAGACTTCTTACGTGATTTTGATGATCATGATGGAAACAGTACATATGAGGAACTCGATCTCCCTATTACGTCAGATGAAGTGTTAAAAGCATGTAAAACATTAAACAGAAATAAATCACCTGGAGATGATTCAATTATAAATGAATATTTGATTGAAACCTGTGATCTATTAATACAGCCATTAACTACGTTATTTAACATTATATTTGAATCGGGACAATTTCCTAAAACTTGGTCATATGGTGTTATTATACCTCTTTTAAAGAAACAACCTGGTGATGACCCAAATAATTATCGCGGGATCACACTCATTAGTTGTTTGGCAAAATTATTCACATCAGTGTTAAATGCGCGTCTTAAAAATTGGACAGATATTCACGAAACAATAACTGACGCACAATTCGGATTTAAACCTAATTATGGAACTACAGATGCGATATTTGTATTACAGTCATTAATTGACAGCTACTTAAGTCAAGGGAAACGTCTATACGCTGCTTTCATCGACTCTGTTTCTAGAAGTGCATTATGGTATAAGCTAATAAAACATGGAATCGACGGCAAACTTTTAAAGGTTTTACGATCAATGTACGCAAATGTAAAATCTTGTGTGAAACAAATAGACAAAGAATCTGACTTCTTCAGTTGTGATATAGGCGTATTTCAAGGAGAAATAACGTCAAGCATATTATTCTAGCTCTTCCTAAATGATATTGAAATGACCATACAAGAAAATACACAGTCTGGATTAACTCTTGGCCAGTTAAACATTTACCTTCTGCTCTATGCGGATGACTGCATACTATTGAGCGAAACCCCTGAAGGAATGCAATCACATCTCGATTTGCTATATAACTATTGTGTAAAATGGAGATTAACCGTCAATGTAACGAAAACAAAAATTATAGTATTCAAGAAAGGTAACGGGCATGTGAGAGATAACGAAACATGGACATATAACGGCAACGGGATAGATATCGTCGAATCTTTCAACTATCTGGGCTACGTACTTAGCAGTAACCAGCCTTGCTCTTTATCAACAAGGATATACCGAAGACGGGGTGTATGTGATCAAGCCAGCTGCAAGTTCTGCTACCACTGATGTGTGATGTGATATGACCAATGGTGGCTGGACGGTTATACCACACCAACAAGATGGATCCGTAGATTTCTATAGGAATTGGGAAGAATACAAATATGGATTCGGTAAAAGAAGCGGCGAATATTGGCTTGGGTTAGACAATATTTACTTTTTGACTAGTGACAGTGGTTCACTTCACATATATCTTGAGGCATTTGAGAATGACAATGTTGATCTAGTGTCTGCTTTTGCTGAATATTCGACGTTCAGCACTAGTGACGAAAATGATAAATACAGATTAAGGGTTGCAGGGTACAACGGCTCTTGTGGTGACTCAATGTCCTTTCATAACGATTGCAAGTTTTCAACCAAAGACAGTGATAATGACAACCATGTCACACTAAATTGTGCAGTGGAATTTAGTGGAGCTTGGTGGCACAAAGCATGCCACCGCGCAAATCTAAATGGATTATACCTGGAGGGGGGAAATACCGATTATGCTCGAGGAATTAATTGGTACGCTGGGGTTATAATTACTCTCTGAAGAAAACTGTTATGAAGATCAGAAGAAACAATTGAACAAATAATTCCTTTCATTTGAAAAAAACTGTTCTTTTACATCTGTTCATAAATATTGTTTAAAGAGACTGACATGTTATCCTTACATTTTGTTGAGTCCTTAAAGTTCATTCTATTGTCTCTGATGATATATAATGCTCTTATTGTTTAGAACAAAACGACAAACATGAAGGGATCCTTAATTGATCTGTAATGATTTGATTTAAGTTCTAAATATTGACATTAATGAAGTATTTAATGCAAACATAAGAATAAGATACACACATTTTAAATAGCAACTTTATTACATTCAGTATCTTAGCTAAATTGAAAACATGAAGAATTTCGTAACTGTTGTTACAGTTATATTATCTAAGTAATACGTTTAACGATAAAACTATATGAAAATAAACATTTCAGAAATGCTTATAATATATTAGAAATATATGGGACATTTCAAATTTATCATATTGTGAAGCGTTAGAAAATTTTGATTTTGAAAGTTATCTATATTTGTAACTTTGAAAAAGAGAGACGCTAAGGTTATCAACATTGAGTGATGTTATATTGAATAATTTGGATAACAGTAAATGTATTTCTAACCTGATGATACGACATTCAGGGTCACAATATGTATTTATTATACAAATGAGGTATCGTAGAAAGTCCGAGTATATTGTCCCTTCCCGAGAAATAATGAAGACAAGTCAATGCAGGGGCCATGGATTCATTTTTTCTCCTAGGAAGGTACAATGCGAGTATTTCTCTAGCGTAACAAAAACACCAAAACATAAATTACTTTTTTATGTCATTCTTTTATTCATTTGATCGTTATTATATGTGATTGATCAACTAGAAGTCATTATTTAAAGTAGCATGTATTGAGCTAAACAATATATATATTTGAATTATTCATTCTCTTAAACATTGTAGGCTTTCATTTATATTGTTGCTTTTCTTTCGCATATGCTTAATTTTGTGTATTGTTTATTGAATAAATACATCATATAGTATCAACTTTGTCCAATAGAATGTGGAGAGATTAGAATGAGCTTTTATAAAAGAAAATCACTCTTACGCTTATGAATAATTCAGTACAGGACAGTATAATGTTTCAAATCTTCAAGAAAACATAGAAAATGTTAATTATAAAAATGTGTGGTGGAAAATGTTAAAACAGGCAGCGTATATTGAACACTGTTTAAATAATGTAAAGGGAAAAGTGGCGTTTTATGAACGCATCTCCCACACCAACAAAAGCCAACAGCAAAAAACTTATTATTATATAAATTGTATATTTCATATAGATATTGAAATTATTCAAACCCGCAATAGTTTTAGTCCCCCCAAAAGCAGATAACAAATAGTCTAAAATTGCAGTCTCGCTTTTATTAAGTAAGTAAGTAAAGTTTATTTATGTAACATAGGCCTCCGGCCCAAAATACAACATAATACAACAAACATGAAATAGCAATGGTAAAATACAATGAGATGATCATAGATATACATGTACATAGTAAATTGTAATATAAACATTGGTAGACATCATATCAATTTTTCTTTGAAGATATATAGAGATATTAAGAGAATTTCGTAGATCAGTTGTAGAATACACTATATAATTACCTTTATAAAGTTTTATGTATGTATTTTTTAAGTACTGAATTGGCGTCTATATTTAAGTGCATGATCGAGAAAACGTGCGATAGTCTTATATAATGTCACATCTGCGTTTCTTAGAACAGATATAAATTTTTCACGTGAAGGATTTTTCACCAATATATCTGGTAGAATATTTTTACGTATAGTATTAAAGTGAATACAAATCAAGAAAATGAGATATTCATCGTCTAAGCCCGTAAAACAGAGAGGACATATCCTTTGATTAATTGGTATATTATTGAAGAATCCAGTGTTATAACCCAAGGGCAGTACACCGCCTCTTAATTTTACAATGATGTTCTATTAAGACAAGTATGTTCTATTAAGAACTAATAGGAAGGACAACATCTCTAACCTATAACGTCCCCTAGCTTCGCTTTATAGTTTTAAAGTTTTGGAACAATGATCAGAAATAAAAAAATATAAACACTCAACGAAACCTGAGATGTAAGGGGGATCTTTTCACAGATGCCAAACAGTACTTGAAATAGAGAATAACAGCTGCTTCTGTGAGTATAAAACTTCTGTAAATGTTGGTTGGATCACTGGAAAGCAATGGTTTCAAAAAAAGAAGTTTTTAAAGCTTCCTCGTCAATCATTGGTCATTAATCATGCACGTGTACATGAAACGTTTATTTAAAAATGTATCTAACAGAAAACTTCTGGAAAATTGATTTCCCTCATTATTAATGAAAACAAAACGCAAATAGTCCAAAACATCAGACTCGATTCAAGTGTCTGTTCAACACATAATTCTTCGTCATCAATTAATTTTGTAAACATGTGATGAAGGTGTTATAAGTAGAAATATGACGTCATTTATACCAGCAATAGATAGAAAAAAAACTAACCTCCTAATGAATAAAATTCATCATATTTCAAATATTTAAAAGTTAAAACACAGTATTTGTGCAATGAGATATTGAGACTCATGAAGTGAAGGAATGAATAGCATTTGTCATTGTTAAATATGATTGTTCTCTTTCGGGAAACTCCTCTGGGAAACGCTTCTTTGGCAAACATTCCTTTATCTTGTATCTTTTGAACAAAATATTAACTTTTAAAATTTTAACAAGCCAATTTACATGTCTAGTTTTCGGGAACAGGAATGCATCATAACAACTATTTTGAATGATAACATGCAATCTTGCGATATATTTGCGTGGTTGAATGCATAAGAATTTGCTCTAAATAAAAACGGGCGTATAAAATTTCAATAATCAAGAAAATAATTCCGCTTCTTTTCTTGGTGATCAAGCATTTTAGAAGTTCACTTTGGTCGCATGTTTTGCATTTAGTAGGTGTTGTGATGTTTTCTTTATGTGCTCACACTATGCTTCAAACAAATGATCAGAAAGGTTTAATTGCATGAAGTGCTTGAACAATTGTTATTTGAGCAAATTATTTCTCCAGCTATTGCTTTGACTTCAATGAATTGCATGATACACGCAATAATTTAATTTGAATGCAAATGAAATGTTTACTGATGTCATGTGCACTAGGAAGTTACGCATTGACAAATACATGCGCGCGTACGCACGCAAACACACACACACACAAAGTAAAATTTGAGTTTATTTGCCGACACACAAATTGATTAGTGACTGTTGTCATTTGATATTTGAATGCATAACCAGTTGAAAGGATAGCTGAGAATCAACTCAAATCTATGCAGATTATTTCAGTGATGAATATTAATTTAACTTGTTTATATTTTGCAATTTGTATGTCTTTCATTATATATTTTCAAATATTTTATAAATGAAAATATTGATATTATATTTCAAATAATTGATAAAAATTATTCTTTAAAATATAACTTTGTTAGTAGAACTAGTAGAACAATTAAATACAGTCAGCCAATTAGAATATATATTCATTTATACGTAGATTTTACAGCAAATTTTCTTCTTAAACAACACTTATTTCACGTTATTAATGTCAATAAGAACATTTGAACGACTAGTCGCCACGAGAATCCAATTAATTGTTTATAAAGTATTCTTAAATAAACACTGAACAGAAATCTTAACTACAAATATTCCCTTTGATAAAACGCATCAGGGTAATGTAACATCTTTTCTCGGTGCGCGGCAATATTTGATAATGTCAAAGTTATTTCAAACAAATGATGTGCCACGCTGTCTATTTTCAGAGACAAAAAGCAACTTGAAATTCTTCTAAGGAACTAAGACATGTTATCTTGCGATATTTTCGCGTGATTCCAGGCAAAACAAAATTGAGACTTTTGACGTGTATTTAAAAAGGAGCAAACCATGTGTAAAATGGAATATTAAAAAAGTCGTTTCTTATTGAATATATTTGAAATCAATTAAATTTAAATTGTTGCAACAAATTTGTAATACAATGTATTTATGTTGCGGTCAGTAGGCCGTGAAACCTAAACCATACGAAAATTGAAACTAAAAATAATTATAAAATTACATTTATTTTATATGCACTACTTTAATACTTCAGCGTTCTTTAAATGTAGTTACTAGTAATCTTTTACTATTTCTTAATGTTTCGTTTAATTCCAGATCTGAAGGAATAACACCAGTAGAATCAATCTTTGCTAAACATGTTAAAGTCTGTATTTGCTACATTTTTACCTTAAACGTTTTAAATACATGTACATGCAACATGCAATGTATGTTTTTGACAAATAAAATACCTCTGACTTTATCTTTGGTATGGATGTTGATACATCTCTCTTGTTCTTTGTAGACATTCATTAAAATGCTGTGTGAAACTGTTATTTTTTTTTTGCTAAAAGATTGTGAGCTATGATGCATTTTGTAGGACAATTGTGTCATTGATTCATACGATTACTTTGTGCTTCTATTTAAATCAATTGAACTTCCAGAGAATAAAGATATTAAAGCCCTGAGTTTACTCGTTTTAAATTTGGATTTATAAATATATTGTATATTCTATACAGTATACTGTTTACGCAAAGTGTTCTGGGTAATAAATTACAGGTGCTTGCCTCCTTCTAGGTCAAACAATACTTGAGTGAAATACCGCTTGTAAATCTCTAGGTATTACTTTACAAGCAATAAATTGCATGAGACACGCAATAATCTAATTTACAAATTTAGTCAATTTGTATGAGAAAGAAAATGAGAAAGAGGATTCACAACACGAACTGTTTTTATGATTAATATCATAACGCCGGAAAGTTATAAATCTTTTATTGATTATAGTTATTTAGAAAGATAATCTCTTCAATAATATGAAAACCTTTCCTACTTCAGATAAGGTATTTATACATTATTATCAGTAAAAATAACAAAAATGTACGAGTACTTTAAGATATTAATA